CAAACTGAGAAGCAAGACCTCTGTTAAGAAGCCCTCCTAGATGCTGATATTAGCTTTGTTCCTGTATCAGCTGTTAAAGGTACAGAATATTATTTGCATAGTATTTGCATGGGGTGGCTTGTTCTATGGTTTGTGAGTTCCATCTGAGATGATCAGAAAGAAGGTGGTGGTTTCAGGGTAAAAAGAAAAGTTGATCCGACAGCAAAGTTTTAATTAACAAAAGAAAAATTAAAGAAAAAGAAGAAAAGAGCAAGGCTGGCATTGATTAGTTGTTTAGCTTAAACCGAGGAATGAGGAGATCTCGGTTCGATTCCCGGTCTGGGCACATGCCCAGGTTACAGTCTTGATCCCGAGTAGGGGGCATGCAGTAGGCAACCAACCCGTGATTCTCTGTCATCTTTGATCTTTCTCTCTCTCTCTCCCTCTCCCTTCTTCTCTGAAATCAGTAAAGCTATATGAAAAAACCGAAAGAATATTCATGGCACAGTAAAGTAGAGCATTGAGTCAATCCTATATAATAAAAGGCTAATATGCAAATCGACCAAACGGCAGAACGACTGGTCGCTATGACACCCACTGACCACCAAGGGCAGATGCTCATGGCAGGAGTTGTCCACCTGTGGTCAGTGCACTTGGACACGGGGAGCGTTGCTCAGCCAAAGGCCATGCTCACAGCTGGGGACCACAGGGGGGTGGTGGAAGCCTCCATGGCAGCACTAAGGCGGTTCTAAGCCATCAGTTGGACATCCCTCAAGGGGTCCTGGACTGGGAGAGGCTGCAGGATTGACTGAGGGACCGCCCTGAGTGCATAAATTTTGTACACTGAGCCTCTAGTAATATTATAACTGTTATGGTGTCAAATGGGTATGAGATTAATTGCATGATTTCTTAGTCAACTATATAATGTCTAATCATTGAGGTGTACCCCTGAAATGAACCTAACATTCTATGTCAACTGTCATTTAAAAAATGTTTTAAAAATTCTATAGGACCATGTTACTTTCATAGAATCATATTTTACATTAAGTATGTTTTGTACAGTTTGTTCTAG